TAGGGAAATTAGCAGTTGTGAGATGCAATTGCCTCCCTCCCTGACTCATCCAAAGGGCATCTTTATATTTTCTTTCCATCAGATCACCTTCCCAGCAGAACCTGGGGACACTGCGGCAGCTGCTGTAGAGACAGATCACCCTGTGTCTTCTCCACAGCACCGTTTGTGAGTCTCTCTGTCTCTTGAGTGTCCATCAGTTTTGTCTTGCCTGCTTCTTTCTTACCCTAGCCACCAGGCCCCACCCCATTCCCCAGCCGGTACTCCCACAGCCAGTTTTGTCTTTTGGCCATCCAGCACTCAGGGAGGAGAGAATGGGAAAATAGAGGCCTGGGAAGAAACTGAAAGTGGATCCATTTTTCCCCGTTCATGGGCTCTTAAACTCCTGGTCTCCCATTCAGGGAAGGCAAAGAAGAATCAGGAAGGGACCTGCTTTTAAACAGGGGCAGAGGCAGAGTGCAGGTTTGTGTAGGCATGCAGCCAGAACAAGGATCCTGTCCACTAATGGAGTCCCCTTTATCTCAGTTCCCAGATTTCAGATCCTCACAGAGAACTGTTGGTGATGGAGAGCTCCTGGGGCATGAGGGACTCAGGGAGCCTGTCAGAGATGAAGAGTCTGCAGCAGGAGCTCCAGAGGCAGGTGGCATCCCAGCAGGAAAAGGAAGAGCTGATCTGGGCTCTGAGAGAGGTGCTGTGCTCTTTACAAACCCACTAGGCATGGCCACATGGCAGTGTGCTCCCATCTACTTGCTCTCCATACATCAGTCCATGAAAAGAGATGGTGAAGATACCCCTGGCTGCTCCTGAGCATGCTGGAAACTTAGGTCCTGAGCATGGTACCCCTCAGGGCATCCCCTCAGGGCATCCCCTCAGGGCATCCTAATTGCCTCATTTCAGGGTTGATGAGGACATAATGAAAGCAGATGGGCATGGTTTATTCCCCAAGCAGCCTGCTACCATGTTGTAGACATACCCAGTATGGACAGGCAGCAGCTCCAGGGGGCAAGATGTGGGTGGAAATCTCAGAAGGCTGGTGGTTCTCATGGCATGTGACACCTTCTCATTGGTCCCTGCTTAGGGATAGTTGAAAAAATGTCATCTCCTCAAAGTGGCATCTAGCCTACACATGCTTCTATCACTGATGGAAATCCACTGACAACAGGGTTGCCATGGGCTTGTACTGGTGGGACAGAGAGTAGCATCTGGGCCTCTGTCTAAGGAGCTTCTCTTCATGATCAGGTTGGGGGTGGTACTGAAGAACCTAATACACAAGAAGGGGAAGGTAGCAGTGACCAAGGAAAACCTGAATCCTCCTCACTGCTGGGAGATGAGCAAAGAGGGTGATTTGGTCTGTAGCTGCATTCCCTGGATTGAGAACTTTTTGTCCTGATGCTCTTCATCCTGGACTTCATGATCCTTGTTGCCCCAAAGGACTGCAGCCATCACTGAAACTCAGGGCATAATCGAGATGTGTGTATCTCAGTGGGAAATGCTGAGGATTGAATGCACTTGGGTGTCAGCTACCCACTTTCCATAAAGAGAACTACCCCTTGGCGAGGGCTAGGAGCAGTGTGAAAGTGTATGGAGACAGGTATGGAGGATAAGTCTCTTTTCCTTTACTGTTAGGAACTGGAAGAACTGAAACAAAGGAAGTCTGGAGACCTCAAGGTGAGAATATTAACCTTGAAGCTTTAACATACTTGGAGTGACAGGATGAAAGGCACCATCTCAGCTGTGCCCACAGTATCCAGTCATTCATCCTTGCCATATGTGGCCTGTAGGTCCTCAGAGAAGTGGGCACTTGGTTGTATCCCTGGCACTCTCAGGGACACCACTTTCAAGCATACCCCATGTATCTGCTGCCACTTGATTGTGCCAAACCCAGAAATGAGGCAGTGAGGCTGCCCCAGGGTGCCTAAGAGTGGCCGTGTGGGGCACCTGCAGAGCAGGATCACTGCCACATTTCTAGGTGTGAATGGAAGTAGGTGGATGTGGTGTCCTGAGAAGCAGATATCCCTGGTGCTATGGATGTGGTGTGGGTGCATCCTTAATGTCCTGATTGATCAAAGCATCTGGTCATCAGGAAACGAGCAGAGTCCCATTTTACACCAACTGAAGGTCTGGCCCAATAAAATCCATTCATTCTTCATCTATTAGCCTTAATAGGGGTATTTCTGTTTGGTGCTCTGTGTTTGGGGTCAATTTATTTCTCTGAGGACTTCTCTCATGTCTATAGTATCCATGCACTTCACAATCTCTGATGTGTTTATCCTCACAACACTCCCTTCAGGCAGGGCTGGGTTATCCTCATTGAACAGATAGGAAGCTTGAGCGCAGAGAAGATAAGTGACTTGCCTAAGATCAACACAGGAAGCCTGTAGCTGAGCAAATACAAGCCAGGTTTCCCCAGTCTTAGGCTAAAGCCTGAGCTCCTGGACTTTCTGTCCCCTTGTGTGTGTGTGTGTAGTGTGGGGAGGGATTCTTTTGCATTGAACCTGATGGGATAACTAGAAAACATGAATATGTTTCTTGCTTCCCCATGAACCCAAAGACATTAACCATCTAATAATCCCACTCACCATAGAGTCTCCCCTTATTTGCTAAGTAATCCAGGAACTAGACAGAAGGCCTTGGTAACAGGACCTGATGACTGGAACAGGCAACATTGGCTTGTCCTTGTTAGGAATATTTGATGGCCCTCGGTGCTATTGGAATAACACGTGGCTTCCCTTCCAGAGGACTTCAAATATTAGGCTGCCATTTTGTTGTCCATGACCATCCAGTCCTTTAATATGCCCCCACACAGGTACTGGGGATCCCATTGTACAATCAACACCTTTAGCCTTTACGGTACGTTATGGGAGTGTCTCGGAGACACATTCCTAGTCAGGGAAAGTTTTCTGAGGGTCAGCAGTTCTTCATGGGTAGGATTTTCCTTGACTAAATAGATCCTGCTGCAAACTGCTGCTGTGTAAAGACTCATGGGCAGTCAGTGAGTGAGGAACCCACCTTCCTTTTCTACTGATACCACTTTCTCTAAGGCAGTGCTTCCCAAACTTTTCCTCAGCATGATCCCATTTATGGCCCCATTTCCTCAGCTTGGCCCCTTACTCCCAACCCACAGCCCCCCACCCCTGCAACCCCATCTGCTGATGTTGCAACCCCCATTTGGGGTCACAACCCACAGTTTGCTAACTGCTGCTCTAGGGGGTGGCAGGTGGTTAGGAGTGTTATGAGCTGGCATGACTTAGCCATGGATTATCTTGAGTTTGATGCTACCAGAGTTTGGCTCTGGAGTTTGATGCTACTCTGTCGGTTGACATTGGCTGATGTGGACATTTGCGAGCTAAGAACACATTAAGTTGGCCAAGTCCAATGATGGGGTCAGTGGGGAACCTACAGTTAGGGCAACACCTGTTGCTTGACCTTGAATAGAGCAGCCTGTGTTGTGAAACCAGGAGCCAGCGGTGGTTTGAGTGTTGCACCTGTTTCTAAAGCCCATTGGTGTGATATCTGCAAGCTGTTACACAAATGCATGTGGACGTAGAGTGTCCCCTGCGGGCCTCTGGCTCCCTGTTCCTCCTGCCCTGCTTATTATTGAAGGGGAATCTTACCAGTGTTTTGTGCACTGTGATTCAGGCCTCCCTGGAGGAAGTAGATACAGAGCTGGTTCTGGTCCAAGAAGAGCTTCAGAAGGTTTGGGGCATGCTGAAAACACGTGACATGGAGCTGGAAGAACAACATCTAGAACTCGAATCTGCCAGAAGCCAGGTACAGAACCTGCCAAGGATGTGATGCCCCACCCAGGGGGAGCTCTCTGTGTTTCAGTGGCACCTGCAGGCCTCATTGCAACCTGAGTCCCATTGTGCTAGGTGCTGTAGAGACACATCAAGAGAAACAAACCCTGGCCCAAACAGCTTACCGTCTCAATAGGAAAGGCAGAGAGAGGATGGGGAGAGGAAACAGAGGCACAGATAAGGGAAGTGAGTTGCCCTGTAGGTCAGCCTGAAAAAAAACTCAGGGCTCCTAAGTCCCGGTCCAGTAGCTCTTCCATTAGACCACACTGGCTTTCCCTCTCACAGGGACTCACTGACCACTGGTGTTTGTTTCTGTGGCAGCATGTGAATGGTTCAGCTGCCTTACCAAGCTACAAAGTCTAGGGTTCTCTGCACATCCCTGGCAAACGATGGAATTAGGCAGTTACTTGTTAGTCAAGGTCTGCCTCAGCCCCAGTTTGATCCACAGTCTTCACTTGAAAAGGCCCCAGACTTCAGCTAATTATGTAGCAGCAAAGACCCGGATAGGGGTGCCTGGTAGAGAGAGACAACAGCCCCTAACCAGCCAAAGCAATGATACGACAGGACTCATCCATCAGAGCCTGTCCCCTATGGTAGGGGGCAGGTATGAAGCAGGTGACTTCAGAGACTGACACTAAGCTCTCTCCTGTCTGTTGCCAGTACACGGAATGCAGCTCGGAGAAGCTGAGACTGGAGCAACTCGTGACCTCTCTGGAGCAAGAGCTGGCTGAGAAGTATGTAGTTGGCAGGCTTTGCTGTTGGGGCAATGAGGTGCCAAGTGTCCCCCCTTGCAGAGTTGCATGTAGCACTCAGTCATGTGAGCCACTACTCCATCTCCAGTGTGGAGACTTGCCAACAGTACATGTCCATGGACCAAATTCATCCATGGCATAACTCCACAGAGTCCAATGCAGTCGCACCAGGGATGAATCTGGTCTGTAAATGGATACCTCCAACCCCTACTCCTCCCCTCCACCCCTATGGTTCAGTGGCAGGATTATGCAGACCTGCAGTGAGATGTGGAGGTGAGTGTGTATGTGTGTCCTTTGATCTCAATCCCCCTGGTCTGGCTCAGTCCCCCTGGCCTGGCTCTGCATAGACCAAAGCTGTGCCCCTCAGGGGCTGTGTGAACATCCCCTGAGGGAACATCTCCCTCATGAAGATAGTGGAGACAGACTTGGGAAAGAAGTGGACTATCCCACTGCGGATAGACATTCCTGTGCCTCCTTCCGGATGCTGCAGTCACCTTAGGAATAGCAGCATCACTGGGGCCCTGATGCCAGGAAAGGATGTGGGGATATGGAGCAGAAGCCAAGAGTTTGGGGCAGGAAGGGTGACCTGGGGACTGGGGTTCAGGGTTGTGGTTCAGACCAAAGATATTCCTGCTCTGACAGTCAGAATGAGGGGGTTTCTCTGATTGTGAACGGGTGGCAATCTTCTTGAGCACGTACCAAAAAGCTCCTGGGAGCCACCACTTGTACAGAAACCAAGAAAGCTAACCTTGCAATCAGCGCTGGGAAAACCAGTCCCCAGGCGACTTCACTAGAAGCTTAGTGAAGCTAAGCATCTCAGCAGGCAGCTGTCTCTCTGGACCCATGAGCCTAGAGTTGGATTTGAGACATACCCTCCAAGGTGCTCCCCTGCTGGAATCAATGTAACCAAGCTGTCTCTCATATGGGACTCATGTACCTAACTAGAGATGAGTCATCTCTCTGGAAGTCTCCATACAGTTCCTGCCCTTTAGATACGCCCAAAGTGCCAGGCTGTGCCAGGAGGGTGGTTCGTTCCAATTCCGGGTAAAAAGCAAACACTTCCAGAATAAGCAGAAGGCTGTCCAAGAGAATCCTGCCACGTGGGAGCCCTGGGCTGAGGATGCCCTACTCTGGCTTCTCCAGAAGCTGAGAATGAGAGTATTGCAGCACAGATGGGAACTGCTGTGAGTCAATGCATTAGATTTAAAGAGCAGAGTGTGGCACCCAGAGCTGCCAGGTTGAGGGCTGGATTGTGGCCTGTAATGACAGCCTTATATTGGGTATGAGCTAGGAGCTTGTGCTTCCCAGACCTCCAGAGAGCAGGAGAGACAAGATGAATCCCACCCTTTTTAGGAGGGGTGGTAGGACCTAGGGTAGTGCTAGCCCAGTGAAGTCCCTGCACTGCTGAGGCTGGATTGGGCCATCGGGAAGCTGTGAAAGAAGGGTAGAGGTGAAGAAAAGCCTAATGAGAGCCCCCCTGCCCCTTCCCTCCCACAAAGCATCCTTGCATTAAGGCAATGCCTTATGTCTGCCCCATAGTCCTCCCCAGCCCCCTCAGGGATCTGCTAGACTGCTGTATTTTTAATCTGGCTCCAAGTTGTGCCACATTCCCTTTCTCCTTGGAGAGCTGCCTTTCCTCTCCACATCTCCTGCATGGGTCAAGGGCCCCTGGAAAGAGGTGTGGTGCTGCAGAGGTGGCCGACTTTCCTCCCAGTCCTCATGGGACCTGTGCTTGGAGAGTCCTGTGCACTGATTTCTGGGGCATGGTCAGACCCCCTTGAGCCCAAGGATCCTTCTGGTGGCCAGGCCTTGCAGGATGGGTTTTCCTGGCTTCTGTACACATGGTGGCTCCCAGAAGGCATGCCACCTTTCCCTTCATTGCTACCTGCATAGTGATCTGTCCCTCACCAGATGTTGTGGTCACTTCAGCTGCCTCTGTTAGCATCCTTCTGTTAGCACTCTGCATACCATTTTTGGAGCACCTCTCCATCCCTTTGGTCTATAGAGTCAATTGGGTGGTAGGGGACTGGAGTCTCTTGAGGCAGAACTGATCTGCCAGGTGCATGGTCATGGACACTGCCATATAAATGAACGTGCAGCAGTGGGGACAATGGAGGTCGGTGTTCAGGGAGCTAATGCAGAGACTTGTTTTTGCAGAGAACAGGCCTTAAGGCACCTCAGGCAAGCGAAGCAGATGGAGAAAACTGAGCTGGAGATTAAAGCCTCTTCATTAGAGCAGAAGGTAACTCGTGGGAAGGGCATGGGATCTGAGACATGTGTGTACTACCTGCAGGGGTACTCTACGGAAACCAGCTTACATATGTGTGTTCTGTATACATGATACCTCATAGAAAGGTGCATGTGAACTGAGGGGTGTGTGTATCTTGTGTGTAGCAGCTCTTCAGGGAAATCTCATTCATGCTGCATATGTTTGTGCATGTATTCTTTATGTAGGGTATTTCCAAGAAAGCCTTATGTAAACTGGAGCGGGGGTGGGTGTGCATACACACACGTGTGCATTGCATCAATACTCCAGGGAAGGACACATGATCTGGTGTGTGAGCATCAATAAATTCACACCACCATTTTAGTGCACAGGCAAGACTAGATTCTCCCTTACAGCCTCATCTTCCATAATCAACAACTTCACACTGTAGCTACCATTTTCCAAAGGACTTTGCTTGTGGTCAGATTTTTGAGGGCTCCAAACCCACAATATTCCCAGTCAGGGCTGGATTTCTGGATTTTTTAGCTCTTCTGAAAACCTGGCCACTTATTTTAGTATCCAAATGGGAGCTCAATCTTTTTGGTCTTGAAGAACCCCTCAATGTTGTCCACATCCCTCTTGAAGTGGGGTGCCCAGAACTGGACACAATACTCCAGCTGTGGCCTGACCAGTGTCGCATAGAGGGGGAGGATCACCTCCTTGGCCCTACTTGAGATGCACCTGTGGATGCACGATAGGGTTCGGTTAGCCCTGCCAACCGTGACCTCGCATTGTCGGCCCATGTTCATCTTGGAGTCAATGATGACTCCGTGCTCTCAAGAAGGGAGTTTCCCATCTTATAAGTGTGCTGCCGGTCACTACTGCCCAAGTGCAGCACCCTGCACTTGTCCGTATTGAAACGCATCCTGTTTTTGTTAGCCCACCCTTTCAACCTACCTAGGTCTTTCTGCAGTCTTTCCCTCCCTGCTAACGTGCCCACCTCACCCCACATTTTGGTATCATCAGCAAATTTGAACAGGTTGCTTTTCACCCCATCGTCCAAATTGCTGATAAAGAAACTGAACAGTGCGGGCTCAAGGACTGAGCCCTGGGGGACTCTGCTGCGCACTTCCCCCCAGCCTGAATATGACCCATCCACCACCACCCTCTGAGTACGACCCTTCAGCCAATTAGCAATCCATCTGACCGTGTAGGCAT